ATGGCGTTAAGTTTACTTCATGGAAGGCCCACCACCTCAGTCACTCGAGTTAGCTTCTGAGCTAATAATAATAATAATAATAATAATAATAATAATAATAATAATATATATACATACAAGTATATGTTGCCAAGCTAATATAATTAACTCATAACAATATTATGCATTAATGGAAAGGTACAAGGCTGAAGCTGAAGTTGTGGCGGACCACCAGAGGGCTCCACTCACACTCAGACAGGATGTTTTTATTCATAAAGTTTGTAGAAATAATGTTTTTGGCGCTTACCGTTTCTGTAAGTTCTTTCTGTTGGAGTTGAGTAATGAGGTGCTCCTTGTGTCGTCATCGTTGTTACGTCGTTAAACCTCTCCCACACTGGCGCCCTCAAGCAGCTGCTCCTATGGCACTAGTCTCTCCGACGCAGAAAGGACCGTGAAGCTCCATTCCCTCTCTGGCTCGGGTGATGGCACAGCTCTCGAGCTGATGGCAACCATGCTGTACCTGAGCCTTCCACGAAGAAGTAAATGTTTATCAAATAATGTCTAAGGTTACAACTCATTGGGGTTCCCTTTAAAAAGTAATGAATGGATGTACGTCTACAACTGATAAACCTTTGAAGTTGATCCAATTCAAGATGGCCGCCACAGCTAATCAATCCCACCGGACACAGAAAATACTGTAACCCAGTCAGTTTAACAGACATTGACCTTAAATTTTCAACACGTTCCAAACAACAGTTTGTGTGAGATTCATTGAATAATTTCATATTTAAGTCAGTAATTTCAGACCCAGACCAAGAGACAGTCAGCTGGTCTTAAGCTAATTTTGATAATGAAATTAAATCTGCCTTCTAACAGGCAACGCTTCACACTAAGTGTAGTCTCATTTGCAGCGTAAACTGATATAATGACCATCATGTAGTGAAATAAAGGCTCCTCTTCTACACAGCTGAATTTATCTTGGACTATGTTTGACTTCATGCAGTGTAAACAGGCCCAACAACTTCCTGTTTCACACACCAGAAACAGCTGAGCCTCGCGTGTACAGATTCATTCACTGTTGAGTCTGTTGTTGTTTATTTATTGAGTTTAGGAGCATTTTTATGTTTGAATGATTCATTATGTACATAATCTAAATGACCGGACAAACAAAATAAACATTACTTTGAAAATGATCAGGGTCTGAACTGAAGATATTTTTTTTTAAAAAAGCAGCCGAGGTTCAAAGAAAAACTTGAAAACATTTGAAAAATTGTCGACCATTTAATAAAAATATAAATAAAGAAGAAAAGTTTTGCTTTTCCAGAAGTAAAATATAAAAATATGGGAAAATGGCTCAGTACTTTTCAGTCGTTACATTTGGCACTTGTTTGGGGTTAGCACAAAAACAAACGAACTGAATCCACATGGTTGGGATTTTACCTTTAATGACATACTGCTAAAACCCTCAGGTAAACAGTCCCGTGAGGAGCTGGTACTTAAAAGCTGGAGCCTTCAAGGAAGAGCATCTTATGTCTGATACGTAAATTGGCTCAGGCAAGTGGTTTCCTACCTCATTTGAACCAAGTGAAATCTACTTAAACCACACCTAGATAATGGTCAAACCATTCATCTACACACTGCTGCACATGCTGCCAGGTGCAGCAACAGCAGCACAAGTTAAACTTGGACTGGAACAAACACTTACAGAAAGCCGCTTGTTTATTTATGCAAAGCAATGTGAGATCATAGGCCCAAAAACAGTGTATACAGTATGCAGCGGGTAAAAGAGTTTGTGCAACCACTAAGATGAGATGCAGGGGTGTGTTTAAAACATAGATCAATTCAACACTTATTGCTTAGATTTTAATATCAGCATGTAAGCAACTGACTAACTGAGAGTCCTGCAGGGGGTCATCCTGGTACCTACAGTACCCAGTGCTTGCAATCCTTGAAACAATGCCTGCAGTGTAAATCAGTATTTTCTCTCATTTGTTTTAAAGACTTTTTTTCAGTCAAAAACTTTATTTAATTTAAAAACAAAACAAATTCTATATACAACATAAAATACAAATCACAAGTAAAATGAAAGACAGCAGAAAGAAAAAAATCTTCCATCTGCCTCTATTCCCTACAATCCTACAAAACGTTATGCCCCTACACTTAAAGTGCGAGCCAAGCATCTTTCATGAATTTCTTTCTTGACCCAGGGAGAACCAGGAAATAGATAATGAGGAACATATGTACTAGGTAACATAGATACCAGGGAACATAAGACAGGGGAGCATAGGTACTAGAGCAGTGGTTCCCAAACTTTTTACCTTCTGACCCACAAAATATCCATGGCAAAAACTTGTGACCCCAAATACTGTATTACTGGTCTGAGTACACAAATTTTGTTAATAACCCTAAAAACACAGGTTTTTTGACAATCTAAACAGCTTATACACAAATATAAATACTTATTTTTACTTATTTTGTGTTTTTGTAATAATTATAGGGAAAATATTACATCAGCAATTATTTTATTACCC